GCCAGCCGCGCCCGCCAGTTGCGCCTCTTCCGCGCTTTCCCCATCTGAGCGCGCATCAACAGAGCCTCCCACGTGGAGCCCCGAAAGCGCCCACTTCCGCCTTCCGCAGCCTCGTCACGCCCCATCTCGCGAGAACTCGCCGAGGGCCCCGGCTCTATTGCACGAAACAGCCCGTTCGAAGGGGGCGGAGCTTGCAGAGCTCCCCCGCGGGTGGGCGGCAAAACGCGGCGGGAACTCCGGGCGTGGCGGAACGGGACGAGCAGGGTGATGCTGATGAGGACGCCAGGGGCTGAGATTGCCAAGGGGTATTTTATTTTAATTGATATTATTAATGAATCAGTGAAAGCAACCTTATGCATGGAGGTGACGTTCCTGCTAGCTTTTTCCTTTTCCTTGCGCTGGAGTTTAGGTTGTTTCCTTTTTTGCATTGTTCAACAAATAAATTTCATATGTATATTTCACATTTACTATTAATATTTCAAGCATATAAATTTAATAAATAAAATAAAATAAAAAACCAGGATTCTGCATTCAGGTCCAGTACTGTAAGAAACTCATTAAAATCCTCCATCAGCTCCAACTTATAAATCAGTCAAAAGTTTGGGGGGAGTTTCCAGCAGTGGCATCGATGATGCATGAAGGTGTTCAGTCTGCACCCAACAAGCTAAGCATGCAAACCCAGATTCCTTGCAAGGCAGTGCCCAAACTGACCGATTTTTTTTTTAAAAAAGCCATAATAACTTCACTCCAAAAGTTACAGTAAACATTTAAGATTTAATTGGTCACCACACCATAATTCAGTTGTGAAATCAGTCTACAAACAATTCACTATGTAGAAGTACATAGATCCAATGGTCAGATAATAAATAAAGGCGTGGACAAATCTTTCAGATCTTCACGGTTGTTCAACAGCATCATTGAGAGAACTAATGTTTTATTAAGATCATCGATTAAAAGGAGGCCTACAACATTTTCTTCTGACCAAAATCATCTTTTTAAAAACAAAACACGTAATTTTGCCATACAGATTTTTAAAAATAACCTAATACTTAGGAGATCAGATGTCCAAATAGGATAATCAATCACTATACTCAGTGCAGATTAACAGTTATGATCAATGTACATATTTTTTTTTCTGCTTTTGCAACAGGAAAAAAGAATCATTTTTAAACATGGCACTTGGCAACAAGGATCAAAGGAATGAACAAAGAAGTTTAAAGTTGCATGCAAAACGTAAGAAAGAGCGAGCTTCTTTAAAAGAAGGGGAATATAAGACAAGTAGATAAGATAGAATCTTAGCTGCAAAATACAAATTATTCAGCCGGCACCAGGAAAACACACTTCATATTCATTAACAGAAAAAAAAAATAATCTACAGCAGAAACTTAAATGCCCACAATTCTGCAAAGCAACTTTGCAAAAAAACCGATCCTATCCCACAGGGCAAAGTTATGGCATTATCTGAGCGCACGTTCGGCACACAGTACTTCAAAATCCAAGACGGCTTCAAAAAACACATTAAATTCAGAACATTTAAACTCGGCTCTATTTCTCGGTCAGGCTGATTTGCCTTGATCGACTACTCATTAATTGCATTGATGGTTTACAATAAACGCCTGCACAACAGTCTGGTTGAACACAAAATTGGAACTCTTGGATGGGGGAAAAACTCCCGTAAGCAGCCATCATTGTAATGTCCCAGTAATAGTCAGGGTTTGTTAAGTGGTTTTCAATGGTTGAGGAATTGAAGTTGGTCCAAAAAACCAGAGGTTGGGTATATACTGGACATTCTTCCATAGTCGGAACACAGAAAGATTGGCAAATGTTGCCACTGGAAATTTAGCACGTCTAATACCTCCTAACCATACAGAAGAAAATATAGAATTGTATATCCTTTTTTGAGCAATGTGAAGCCCACTCACCTCCCCTGGTTGGCTTTAGCTTCTAGCCTCCCCCTGGGTAGCGCTGACCAGAGTTACACGTGATCCGAAGGACGATCCAAGTTAGAATGAACCAAGATCAGCCGGCATTGCAATGCGGGAAAAAGAAAATTATTTGCAGAGGGAGGAACAGCGAGCTGGCCTGCAGTGGGAATCAGAGCCAAACTGTTAGGGATTAACAGCCGTGCAAATCCAGCCTTAATTCAGCCTGGAGAAAATGGGAATCAATGGGAAAGCCCATCAAAGGGTTGTCGGCAAAGGATGGGATCCGGTATCAAATAAATCAAGTCAAAAACTTTATGACTGCCGAGGATCAGCACCGCCATCAATGGCTCACTGCAACGGCACTCAATTCTTCTCCCTCAACTGATTTGTTGGCTAAATGGGATAAAAACGCCGTTCTCTGCAAAGCGTCTCCAGGTATCTAAATAGGGCTGACGAGGGGCGAAACCCCCCCCCCCCAAAGGCAGAGAAGCTAATCGTTGGAGAAAGGGTGGGAAAATCCATCAACCTTTGCATTTTTATAGAACAAGGGGGGAAAAAATGCCCGAGCATCACCTTCACCTTCAAAAACCTGTAAGGGAACGGTGGGAATGCTCACAGCATATTTCAAGTACAATAGTTTGTGCTCGTTTAATTTAAATAAAAATACATACACCACGAAGGGAGAAGGGCCAGGGAACACACGCTTATTTAGCCAAATCTGCACAAGTGCAGTAGGTGAACTATTTACATCTATATTCTTTTTCAACAATAGCCTTATACAAAACAAAATGCTGTGTATATCAAATATATTTATATGTATATATATATATATATATATATTTTTTTTTTTCGCTGTTCCTGCACAGCCACCATGGAAAGCTGATCTAAAGGAGAGGGGTGCATTTTTACCAAGGTTTTCTCAATTCCAAGGAATCTTTTCTTTGTTCTGCACCGGCAGCAGCTGAAGAATTTGATTGTGGAAGAAAAGCGGTGGATTTCGGCGCACCAGAGGACATTCCGTTTTGGAAGGATTGGGGCGACGTGGCAGCCTCCCAAAATTGCTGGAAAAAAGGTTTCTTTTGGAAGAAAGGGGACCCTTACCAACTCAGGAGCTTTTCGAAGTCTGGACTGTCCTTTAAGTCAATACAGATAGAAACACACTGATGGCGAATTTAGTGTCATCCGCCTAAATGATTGCCCTCTTCCACGGGCATAGAAAGGATGGCAGGAAGGAGTTACAAAATATTCCACCAGCTTCCATTCCTGTTTCCAGTTGTCCCAGGAAATTACATGCTATATGTCTAAAACAAAATAGTTCAGTGCTTTGGGAGATCAGGAGGATATGGCAGAAAAGTAAATCTTTGCTACGGGCCCTGATGCTTTAATACTTTATGGGCACCGTTTACACCAGAAGCCCCAGGCTGTCCCTCGGGCAAATTCTTCGGAGCAAATCAAATTGGCTTCTCTACTTTTTAAGGACCGAACACCATCGTCCCCTCCACACATCTACTGTGAAGGAAAAAAGAAAGATTCAGGGTAGGTGGGGGGAAGCACCAGATCTTCCTGACGTTTATGATTTTATGGAATTTATTGCCACACTGGTCCTGAGAAAGATTTCAGCAATCCTTTTTTATCTGTCGCTGATCGTGGTTTAAAACTGAGCCGAGCTAAGGCTCCCGGGCATTTAAAAGCAAGGCGTAATTTGGATGGAAATGTTACTTCCTGCCTGGAAACGCTCCATGGCCCCAGCTAACTCTGCACGGCTTATCTTCCGCTCTCACGCACAAGGCGGTTCTTCGCCGCTCATTTTATCTGAGCGATACTAATTTTCTTGCTCAAGGTCTCTCGCTCAGGTTGTGCCAAATGGGACGAGCAACCACGTATTGCAAGATTTTAGCAGGAAAGATTTTGGAGATGGCTCTCATCCATTTCAGTGGAGCGGGGTGTGTGTGTGTGGGTAGACCAGTGTTTCTCAACCATGGCAATTTTAAGCTGTAGGGACTTCAACTCCCAGAATTCCCCAGCCAGCGT